CTTTTTGCTGGCTCTTTAAGGCTTCTGGGTCATAGTCTTTCAATCTTTCTTGTAAGATGGCAGCCTGGGCCTCCTTCTCCGCGATCTCGCGTTTCAGTCTGTCGCTCTCTAGCGACTCTTTTTCTTCTTTTGCGATCAAGTTCTACAACAGTTTTAGTTGTTTTTCAGCTTCTATAAGTTTTTTTCTGTCTTCTCTAACGTCCCCTGGGGGGGTCTTTATTTATTTGCTCTTCTTGAAGAGCGATATATTCCGTGCGGATTTGCTCGGTTTTTTGCTTATAGGTTCTCATCTCTTGAGCCTGTCTTTCTTCTTCTGATGTTTGCACATTCAAGACCCTTTGAGCTTCTGCCATTCTTCGGGCATCTTCTTGAAGGCTGGCGTTTTCTTCAGCCATGATTGTTTCAAAAGAAGGCCCCAGAACTTTTAGGATTTCTTTTGGAAGATTAGGGTTCAGCCTTTGATTTCCTGTCGTATTATCCTTTGTAGACAATGGATAAAATTTTTTGCCAAAGCCAGACTTTTTAACTTGCAAGCGTTTTTGGCTGTAAGAAATCTCAAGATCTATCGAGCTTGCCTCAGGAAACAGAGCCTTTCAAATATCCCACGAAGTTTGTATTTCAGCTTGCGCTCCCAACAAAGGGGTTTCTTCATAATAAGAAGTGTCAGGCAGGCCGCTCTTCTCGTGTTGCCTCTTTTGCATTTCCAGTTCTTCACCTCCGTGGTAGGGAGTAGACGCCGCGCCCGGCTGAAGGGGTTGTGTTCTGTTCACCTCTTGTTCGTCGTCATCATCATCATCGTGGTCGATCTGGTTGTCAAGGTCAGAGTCATTGTAACAAAATTCGCCGCCGCCTTCCGCCATCGCAATATATTCCATGTATGTTCTTTTTGAATTAGAAAATAATCAAGGATTAATATACCATGTCGTCTGCGAACGTTCTGCCTTCCGCTCCTCCTGGTGAAATCCCGGACGTGCTGCTTCCAACATACATGGCGAAATCTTTGGGGCCATGAAAACGAGGTGCTGGTGCCCGGCTCGCTGGCGCTGCGCTTTGACATCGACCTGGAGGGCGGGCACGCCAACAACTTTCTCGTTCGAAACGTTACGCGGGCGCTGGTCGACAAGCTCGTCGTAAAGTTTGCGGGCACACCCTGCAAGACACGGTGGGGTACGACATCTACAAAACGTTCAAAGACCTGTTCCTCCCGGTCCAAAAACGCGACAACATGGTGCAGGAGGGGATCCGGAGTGATAAATTGAACAAGATACGCTTAAACGCAGGCGACAGGGCAAGCGACCCTGCTGAAACCAAGCTCAACGAGACCTTCGGAAGCAAATACTACATCAGGCTCGACCACCAGATCTTGACCGACCACGACATTTTCTACCCCCAGGCCCTGTACAACGACCTCATTTTCGAAGTGACGCTCGGCCCTGCTTCACAGGTGGTCAGAGGCTCAGACCCCACCAAGCCGAAATACAAGCTGACCAACATCGAGCTCGAGTACGAAATGATACGCAGTAAGTTCCTCGGAGCCGAGGCGCTCAGCGTGTATCAGAACGGCAAAGAATTCGCTTACGACCACGTGATGCGGCACAAAATCGTGAGCTTTAAAAAAGGCGCGGATTCGCGGCTGAACATCAAAGTCGACGCTCAGAAACGGTCCCTGAAAGGGATCCTATTGCTTTTCATGGAGCCCTATGTCGCAGGCGCCCGGGACTCGGAAAAATACATCTTCCCCGACATCACCAAAGTCAGCGTCACCATCAACGGCTCGCCAAACATGCTGTACAACGAAGGCATCGAAAGCAAGGACATGTGGAAAGAGGCCAGCCGCTTCTTTGTGAAAGAAAAAAGCAAAACCGAGAACATGACGCTGCAAAAGTTCTACACCGAAAACCAGTTTCAGATGCTGATCAACCTGCGCTCCATGGCCGACCAAACGCTCTCGAGCATTGCGAAACCGTTCCGTAAAAATGTGGCGCCCATCGTGCTGTTCTACACCCCTTCGGCCAAGACAACGAGGGCGATTTTTGAAGAATACGCGGGAGAGCTTTCGCAAGGTGCCCTCAAGCAGCTGATTGCGAGGCTTAAAGAGAGCAAGTTCTCCCACCTTATTTTCTCTCTTCGCCACCCGTACGAGATCGAATTTTCGAATTAAAAAAGAAAAACGTTAACTAAATGGCGGCCATTACCGATGACGATATGAAAGTTATGGAAGAAGTCGCTCAGATGCTCGAAACCGAGCCCTCAAACTCTCCAGGCCCCGCTCTTTCTCAGCCAGACATCCCTGCCCTCTGAGAAGAGCGTGCAATTCTGGTTTCTACAGGCAAAGCAAAGGGAGCTATCGGCGTGCAGCTTACACAAGAGCAGGTTAGCGCTTGGAAGCTAAAGATGTTGAAAAGTACTACAAAAGGTATGAGACTTACGTAGGTGCCAAGACCACTGAAACCTTTGTCAAGAGCTTTATCTCGGTTTACACCAGGGGAATTGGCGGCTTCTCATGGTACTCGGCTTCTCATGGTACTCAACACGGCACTGATCATAACGAAACATGTCGATCTCATTACTGCTAAGGATTGCCAAGCAGTTGCTGAACAAACTGCTGGATAATTAGTAAGCTTTGCCCAGCAATTCCTCAATGAAATATTTTTTTGTTTAATAAAATAATGGTAGATTCAGAAAACACTCAAGTCGAGCCGGCACAGGGTCAAGTTACTTCAAAAATACCAACCACACGGCCTGCGAAAAACCCGAACCGGATGGCTGCAGGCAGAGCCGTCGCTGCAAGAAAAAAGCCGCTGAAGCCGCGGGTCTCGTTCTTCCTAGCAAAAAGCAGCCAGGCGTTCATGAGGTGCCTGTTGATGAGGTGTCAAAGGAAGACACAAAAAAAGTTATCAGCATGACTCAGTGGCTCAGTATAATCAGCATCGCGGTTTCCGTCATTGGCCTCTCTTAAAAACGCGAAGATATAAAAAAGTTTTTCAATCGACAGCCTGCTACGCCTCAACCAGCCGTCGAGATGCAAGCCCCTGTTGATACGCAGCTGCCTCGACCGGTGCAAAGAAGAGAGCTCTGGCATATGGATTGATATTTGAAAATAAAAACGACGTACATTATGCGATGTCAGACAATAAGCTCGTTAATACGATCATGGATGCGGCCGTTCTCACCGGCTTAACCGCTGGCATTGGCTGGATTGCGAAAAAGGTGGTAAAAGAAAACTTTACCTCTGACCCAAGCAGCGGTGTCATGCAATATGCAAAATTTACGGCTGTCCTGTCAGGTAGCATCGCACTCAAAAAGTACCTTGAAGACCAAAAAATTCTTCCGTCTTCGGTTTAGAAGGAAGAAATATTGTCATAATACCAATGCCACGTTGTTATTTTTTCCTCAAAGCCCTCTCAACGGTTGCGTTATTATATTTTTCAATGAATATATCTTATTATACCGCTGATGCCATAAAATTTGTTTGGTTGGATGCTATTGAGGATTCCGATTAGGAGGACTCTGATTTTGAGGATCTCGGTACTGAACACTTTCCATTACCGGACAAATGCCTTACGCCTCCTCCGTACGAACCCCCACCGCCATACGATAATTGAAAAAAACATTTTTACACATATACAATGGCGAGCATTGCGATGATGATTGGGGCGCGATTCTTAACGCCGCTGCTTTTTCCGGCGGCAACTACCTTGTCAGATATCTGTCTGGCGACAGTGGGAAAGCGGCATTGGCAGAGAAAACACGACACGACAAAGCCCTTGAAGCTTATCAAGCCGCTATGGCCAAATACACGCGCGACCGCACCATGCTTCTTGATTGGATCGAAACCAACAGAGAAATCAAAGAACAGGCGAAGCAGAACTTCACGAACACCGACTACGCGTTCAAACTCTATAACCAGGCCCACCCAGACAAACAGATCACAATCAAAGAGCCTCGCTTCGCTGACTTTTATCAGCCCAGTGAGCAGCAGAAATAAGGCGAGCTGCTTTTTGTGGACGGCAGCGCGCTCGCTCTCGGCTAAGCGGCTTTCCGTTTTCTTTGAACGTGAAGGTGTAATAAATAAATGGACGCCAAGCTTGCCAAAGTCTACTACAGCCCACAGGGTTACTTGAGAGGCATCCCTGCCATCAAAAAATTAGCGGACGCTGCGAAAGTCCCTGAAGAAACCGCCAAGCAGAGGCTCATCAAACAAGCCCTCTGGCAAATCTATCTCCCCGCGCCGCGATATCTTCCACGGCCCAAATTCGACGTATCGTCGCCTAACGCGGTCTACCAGGCGGACCTTCTTTTTCTGCCTCATGACAAGCCCCCTCGCGACCGCAAAGTTTACAAATACGCGCTGACTGTTGTCGACGTCGCCAGCTGTTACAAAGAGGCAGAGCCTCTGACCTCCAAAGACTGCGGAGGTTGCGATAGCTTTTCAGTCGATTTACAAGCGCAGCCCTTTGACGTGGCCTCAGCTGCTGCGGGTCAACCCTGGGCGCGAGTTCATGGGAAGCGTGACCAAAGAAATGGAAAACCACAAAAGTCGACACGGGCGCCCTGAAATTCACAGAGACCAGGCTATCGTGGAACGGTTCAACCGCACGCTCGCCGAGCGCTTGTTTGGGCATCAGTATGCTGTAGAAGTGCTTTTGCCTTCGGGTCAGCGGTCGACTACCTGGGTCAAAAGGCTTCCCGACGTTGTTGCCGCTCTTAACGGCGAAGTCACTAGTCTTATCGGAAAAAAACCGGCTGTCGCTATCAAAGAGAAATCTGTCGCCTCCAAACCCTCTACTTATTAAAACTCCCCTCACTTCTTAATGTAAGATATTTGTATCAGCCCGGCGAACTTGAAGGCGGGACTAAAAGAGCCACAGACCCAGTTTGGTCTTTGAAAGTACACCATCTTGAAAGAACTGTAACCAAACCGAACGAACCTGTTGTCTATTATTTGTCTGACGGGCCTTAGCGCGGTTTTGTTCGCGAAGAGCTGTTGGTTGTGCCTCCTAATACGCAGCTTCCTCCCGAACAAGTCCGTTCCTGATCTTTTTGTGCCCGTATGCCACCGTGTGCACGCCTTCGTCAGCCATCCACCGCTTCGTGTCGAACGCCGACAGCGAGGCCTTCTCCACGCGCATGCCGTAGATCTCGTGGCCCTCGCTTCGCAAGATGTTCATCCCGTGACAGAACTGCTTTCTCTCAAACAACGCCTCTTTGTACTGCTCATGCTGGATCTTTTTTTTTTTACGAAATATTTTCACGCCTTTCGCTTTTTTGATGTTTTCTTTTTCTTCTATGTACATTTTCGACCGTATCGCCACCGCTTCAGCGATCACCCTCCCCGCGCACTCGTCTTTCATTTTGCCCAATACCTTTTTGTTTTCACCGCTGTAGACCGGGTGATCTTTGGGGTAGTTGCTCGTGTCGTACAGCGCCAGGTCTTCCACCATGTCTCTGTATATGTCGTCCGTCTCGATGAGCAGGCTGTCGGTGTCTGTGTAGATCAGCTCGCATTTCTCCCCATATCGGGCTTTCATCTGGTTGTAGAAGAAGTCGTACATCAACATCTTGCTGTTCTCCAAGATCGTCATGCCGGTGTATATCGGCTTATCCAAGAACAGTCGCGTTTTGTGCATGTGGATGCCTGCCAGGTCGTTTACGTATATATGAAAGCCTGCGTACGAGGGGCTGGCCGTCAGGCGGCGTCTCTTTTCTTCCTCCCAGCTCCGGACTATCTTCACGTCGACGCGGTTGCATAGGTTTTCCATCGTTATGCCGAACACCGAGTTGTTCATCAGCTTGTAGAAGTTTGTTTCGAAGTCGCTCTTCGCCTCTTTCCTGAACTCTGTGATCATTCTGATATAGGGCTCCATCCACCGCTCCTGGTCGAACTCGAGTAC